CAAAACAGCTCCCCATCACAAATTGTATGTGCTGCCCGGAGCAAGTGGGCATGCATTTCCATGAGAGCACGCTTGAAACCAGAAGAAGCAAAGAAAAAAAAATTAATGGGAAAGAAGATGGGTCAATTACACTAAGACGGCTATAAAAATGTCTAAGCCCATGCCTGACGCCAAAACCTTCATACAAATTCAAGAAACGGAAAGAGACTTGGTGTTATCTGTGTCATGTCAGGCCTCCTGCACACTATACCAAGGCACTGACAGACAGCAGCAATCTAAAAATGCTCCAATCTGCTTCTTTGCTTAACTTGAAAACAAAAATCTCAGCACATCTCAAGTTACCCTTGGACTGGAACTGTAGACAGTAAAAATCAATGTCCAGTCCAAACTGTCCTCCTGGTTACCTCCACTGGGAATAACTATAGATAGTAGACAATGTACTGAGGAAAGTGCTGACTGAACACTATATTTGGTGAAAAGCAAAAGTGTCATGAATTCTAAAGGGGACAAAATGCAAAAACCTAATGCCAAGTGTACTAAAAAGTACTTTCTTCAGGAAATAAGCAGATTTTTCCAAGTCTCAAGTTTGATCTCTGCAACCAAGGACGTGGTGGATCAATAGTAGGCAACCATCAGGGATCAACAAACCTTCTGCATCACTGCATGGCAAATTAGTAAAGATCAATCAAAAAGTCAATGTGTAATTGGCTGTCTAACTTTTTCCAGTACATTTTACACCGCTCTGTTTCTCTCTGTCTAGCTGGATCTATAATATCCCAGGGTTCATGAAACATTTAGCCACATGACTTAAAGAGTGGGAATGCTCAAAGAGAATGGACACCGAAACCTTCAATCCCGTATAGACAAAAGTACATTATGACTCACACCTAATGGTGAAAGATCCTACATTGTACAAGATGCTTTACTGGTGTGTTGTTACATTTGACTTATCAATAATGAAGCAGAATCCACACAATATGTGCCAGTAGTAGTTAAAGCTCCACTGTTATCATAGACTGCAACGTGACTCCAGTCATGTGGCTTTGTTTAACAACTATGGGAACTAAAGCCACGCTGGCCCTCCTCAATCCCTGGCCTTCTCTGTGTGACTATTGCTGGAAGCATATCAACCGTGTCAGCCAGCGCAAAAACACAACTATTTCTCTCTCTGTTTCGTGTTCCAAAGACACGCAAAGATAGGCATAGACACAGGGCTTTTTGGGCCAACTGGCCTGTCTCTGGGAAGCCAGATTGCAGAAATACAAAGCATCATAACCAGGAGACAATCTCCCTGTTCTTTGGGAGAAATGACCTGAATACTCGGTCTTTGGTCATGAATACAAATATCCGACCACCTGGCCTGTGTGTGGGCTGGTAATCGTCAAAGAGAGCAGGTAATGGAGCGCACTTTTATGTTGATTGAGGATACAATTTAGTGTGACTATCAGTTGTCCTACTGAGGCGTTAAAGAGATGAGAAAGTGTGCACATGGTCTCTTAGACTCTCAGATATTGCATTTGTAATTGTTTTTTTGTAGATAGTATAGTACAGTACAGTTGGGCTGGGCAAGGCTAGCTTGTGAAAAACCCCGGAATACTTGTGCTTAGTGAGCATAACAGCAACATGTGAGGCATGAAGGTTTCTTCTTAAATTCCTCATGGAAGTAAGACATGGACTTTCAGAGCTCTGTGAGATTACGTATTCAGTTTAAATGGATACAAAAATCTTGTAATGAGAGGATGTTAATACAAATGTAAAATGTAATCTTAAACACATGAAAACAAGGGTAAAGACAGTATTGCATTGTGTTGGTACTTAGGCTTCTATAAATAAAATGTAATGATCACCGATATTAAAGCTTATGAACTGGGATTGCAGGAAGCAAGGGTTTGATAAAGAAAATATTTTATATAGCTGTAAAAAAAAAAAAACGTTGAATTAAAGGAAAATCGAGCTAAAGAGCCTGGTATTGTAATGCAATCAAACATTAGGAAAGTTGCCATATATATCACAATGATGACCTTTAACAAGCAATAATCATCCCAGAGTGTAGGGAGAAATAACCGCTGCAAAGCTAATTCATCTTTCAAACATTGTACCTAAATTCATTTACATAAATATTTCCCCTGGTACTTGGCCAAACAGACAAGATGAACAGCTTAAATATCATTTCAGGCTGCACACCACAATACCATAAACGTGTCCTGTTAGTTACTGCATTGCAACATTCCATTGTCAGTGGGTAGTGTATGAATATCATGTTGCATATTAGCACTGATTTATCATTTGCAGCTTAGAGTGAGTGCAAGGCTAGAAGTCCAGTCCAGCTCAAATCAAAGTCTAAGTCATCTTCTGAATGGGAGTATAAAGAGTGGCCTTCACTGGGTTTGATCTCATAGGACAGATGCTGTACTTACACTGGAACACAGGTTTTGAGCACCTATCATTTGTTTTGAGACATGTACAAAAACTAACAAATTATAAATCTAATAATACAGATGAAGTTTTAAAAGGGAAACTAAGAGTGCCCATGCTGTGAAAAACGTTATTATTTTTTAAGGTGTCCATCTTACCCAGATATTTTTGGCAAGTTTACAAAATGTAGTAAAACATGTTACTGTCTTTCTAGTCTTACAATTTGCTTTGGCCAGCTGATGCATGATCCTGTATACTATACGCCTCGTTAAGGATGTGAAGTAGAAGCTAGGGAAAAAAACGAAATATTGGTATCAGTATCAAAGCCATAGTCATACAGTAGTAGACCTTATTTGTCTGATCTGCAAGGCTTACTTTCATTGACAGGTTTAATAATACAAATTGTGGACTGCAGACTGTCCATTGTTCACAGCATGCAAACTAATGTTAACTGTGCTGTGACTTTTTAACATGACATTTTAGCATTTGTTGACCATTTAGAAACAGAGTTATTGCATGGTGAAGATAACTGCCAATGTAATTTCCGGTCACCATATCAATGTCAATTCTGTGATTATATTTGTAATAAAAAAGGTATTGCGACCCAAAGACCAAAATAGATAAAAAATATATGAGACCTGTATTCATGACTGGCCTGTAAATAAAAAAAATTACTTTGTAAGTTGGAATATACCAGTAGCAATGTCCTGTCAAAGGAGAACTGGCTTGGTACCAGCATACACACAGACACAGTCTAGAATAATAGATAGTATTATTCCTCTAGTCAGGTGATAAGCTAATAAAAGGCTGATGCACAATTTGTTTATTCAGAGCCGACAACACCTATGGAATACTGAAGAAAACAAACTACAATAATATTATAGGAGAACATTTCTGGAATCAATCACGTGTACATGCTCCAATAGAGCAAAGGAAGGTGGGTTTTGGCAGTCAACACATGACAATGATATTTACACTTCACTTGCACTGACAAAAAAACATGTTCACATGCACATGCTTGCCATGTGGAAGACAGAACACACTTACCAGATGTGTGCTACTTGTGTTCAATAATAAGTGTTAAAATGATATGATGAAAAAATGAAAACAATTCAGCAGTCTTGGATTTGTTTACATAGTGCACAGGCATTTTCAGGCATATCCTAAAACTAAAATTGCAGCAATAGGCTTTTTTTTCAAGCATAACTTGTCACAGCAGAAACAGCACAGGTGTTATGTACTAATAACATTCACAATGGTTCTGTCTATTTGAGTGTCTCAGTAAGCCATGGAAGTGTGACAGGGAGCTTCAAGTATGCACAATGTCAGGACCACAAAACCAATCTAGGTAGGCTAAAGAAAGTTAAGCCATCAATATTCGCATTGCTTAAACCTGTGCCTTCCCTACAGTGACATGTCAAAACCTCCATATAGTACCAGGAGCTGTTTCAGCTATATACCAATCCAATGCACCTGCAGTAATAATGGAGCTCATTAGGAAGTACTCAATATGTGACATAAGTTAACCATTTTGACAGGAAAGTGTCATAGCTAAATGCTTTGACTTCTCTCCATAAAAGTCCTCATGTGAGACAATAAATGTTGAACACACATCGAAGGAATATTATCTAATTGATAAAGCAGCTCTTTATGTGTAAATAAACTATTGGGCTGTATGTGTTCATCAGGCATACATCTAAAATTGGTATCAATATGCTACAATTAGCAGTTGTAACCTACTTCACACATGTTGAGCCTTATATATATCTAGGCTATTTGAAAGTAGTTATTTTAAGAGGAAAGGACAGCATTTTCTCTATTACCATACAAATAGTTTCTTACTTCATTATCATAATTACACACACTTCGAGGCTGTTACCTCGGAATCACTGATTATCACACACGTGTTTCTCATTCAATTAATTATTCACTGCAGCTCATCAATGAAATGGATAGTTAGCTTTTCAGCACACTGACATATCCAGAGGATATGTGATTGATTGGAATACCAGCTCCAAACTAAAGCTGTATGGTTAAAAAGGGGTAAAGTGCAGACTGGAAGTCCTTTGTATTAAGTGTCCTCCACCGGGCACCAGCTGCCATGGCGGGGCTGGACAGATTGACTTGTCAACACTGTCCTGTCAACAACCCCTCGGTCATAACCTAACCCAGAGGAGACTATAACCCCATCGCAGTAAAACATACAGTACAAGGATATAGTCATGGAGGGTGTCAGTAGCAAAACTATTCTAACTCAGAAGTGAAGGGGACATGCTCCCATTCGTCATGCACGGAAAAACTCTAAAACTGCTCACACGGCTGCTGCAACTCCCAATTCCCAGACAAAACCCGTTCAGTCGATATAAATGAAGGTCGGCTAACTTTTGCTCATATAAGTTGCTTCAATACGTTTTTGCATATATGCTTTTACTCGTAGAAATAAAGCAAACATCCGAACCGAAGCGTGTAACAGTTTCAGAGAACACTTCAAAAGATTTTACATTGCCCCCCTTCGTGTAACCCACCAGTAAGCGTGACGGCGCTGTGACAACAACATTAGTTTCCGTGTGCTTCTAAACACTTACCAACAGTTCTTGAGCCTGACCCCGAACCCAGCAGAAGGTACCAGATCCACATCATACGGTCTCAGTTTCCCCCCGGCCTGCCCTTGTTGTCCTGCCCCACCGCGGGGCCGAAAACTGTGGGCAAAGAAAAAAAAACTTATCCGACACAGCTCCACTACTGCCTATTGTAGCTCACTTATAAGTTGGACTCGTTTTCCCCATCCGACAAAACAACGGTACATTTGGCGTGAGAGTAGTGGGTTCGCGTTGGGACAAAAGTATGGAGTCCGGTTTTTGCAGTGGGAAGGTCTACAGGCTTTAGCTGGAGGGGCTTCGGGGTGGCGGCGGCAGGCAGGCTGGGGAGTCGGTCGCTCGTGTGTTGGTGCTGAGGGAGGCGGAGTCGGAGGCAGAGAGGCGCAGAGCAGAGGTCGGTCCACTTCGGGACAGCGGTTCCCAATCTGCGGGCTAGGATTAGGAACCTCTAAGGGTCCCCTCTGGCAAAACCATGTTTGACTGCACCGTTACTCCGAAGCGAAGTTAGCCAAAATGTTATTTCACCTACGGATATTCACCACAGACACAGGCGAAACATTAGTGGAATTGGGGACATTAGGGACAGAACCTCCAGCTATGTGAGCGTCAAAGCTTATTTTTTTCTAGCCTAATATGAATAGGCCTTTGAAGGCCTGGAAGAAGACCATTTACAAACTACTTTCCCTAAGAAATACCATACAACTCTGCAAGGGAGTATTGTTTCAAACAATTAAACAATCTAACAAGGAAAGTGAAAGATAACCAAACAGACAGATAACAGAATTAACATTTAGCCTATAATATGAGATTATTTGTGAACCTCATTATGGTTTATTATGAAAACCTTACCCCTCTGTGGTTCTTATAGGCCTTTTATAATGATGTCCGTATCGGTTTCTACGAGTTCAGTAGTTAAGTATTACAAACACTTAATGCAAAGAGATATTGTGCAAACTTAATTTTTACTTAGGCTATGTGAGCGTACATTTTACACATCTAGTCTATTGCACCTTATCTGTAATTTAGGCTTAATATCAAATAAGAGTGATTATTTAATCTCATTATTTCATTTTTTGTTGTTGTATTGAGCACACACATAAATGAGGACATACACATTAATGATAAATCAATACAAGTCCAAAGGAGGAGTCAGTTCAACCTCCTTGGTAATTTATGGTGATCCATGACAGTAGTAGTCACCTTACATCTGGAGTGTTTACCTTTCGTTTCCTTCAAAGACAAATAAGCAACCATTTTATTAATGATCCAGCTATTGGACTTTAAACTGTTGAAATATTACATCATAGGGGTAGTCCATGTTATTGTTATTATTATTTTTTATTGTTTTAGCTTCAACCATTCAAAGCCATTTTCCATGCACATCCAGCTCACTTTATCTCTGAAATTATCTAAAAAGCATTACAAATATCCAAGCTCATCCAGCAGTTTTGAGACAATATTTATCCTACAACATAGCCAGCGAGACCTAACAGTCAACTGTATTGAAAAAATGTCCTCTGAAAATGCTGAAAATGGAAAACATAACATAAGAAATAGGGTTGTTCCAAACACTGGCTAACTGTTTTTGGCACCAACACCAACATGATTGGATATACATCATGTACACTTTTTTAAACACTAGTAGAAATAATTAAAACTGCCCTCCCTTCTGTTTACTGTATGCATTCACAAAGTTGTATGTTCTTAGTGAAAACAGGATGGGGCAAAGCAGCACTGTAATTTTAATTTTAAATAGCTTTACAGTATCTCCTTTCAATCCCCCGCCTGGATACATATTTATTTACATATTACAGAAACAGTTATGGTTCACCAGGATGTGGCACAACAAACAACATCAGAAACCAGGCCGGTATTGCTGACAAGTTTTCAGCAGGGATCAAAAGTATTTTTGAAACTGTACAAAACTAGATATTAAGTCAACAGATGGCACAGGGGGAAAAGTATTTGGAGTATTTCTTTGTTTTGAGATTGTTTGCCTTGATGAAACGTTAAAAGAGGCTAATAATTGTAGAAATCAAAGCAGGAAAGATGTCCTGGTGTTGGCACAGAAAGACACTTCTCGTCTCCAATTGTATTTCTGTTGTACCTATTCAAAACTCGAGCTCTAGTAACGTCCACACAGTGGGATATTTAATATTTAAAAATCAAGATAGAGAACTGTCAATACACAGCCTGCACACACACTAACAGAGCTACAAGGCAGAAAAGAAGGCTTTATATTGGTATTTTCATGGCAATTTTAGTTGAATTGAATTAGAGAGACAGTGAGAGGGATGGAGGGACAGGAGGCTTCACCTCAAACCTCTCTCGTCTTTATCATAGAGCCGCAGCTGTGTGCAGACCAACAACCTCACTTCAAACAAACCCCTCCTTTTGATGGCATGCTAACCTGGAGGCATATGATTGGAATGAGTCCCAATATCAGACTCCTCCAGCTCACTTTATATTCATCCACACACTGCCTTATCAAACCAAAGCCTTGTGCAGACTCAAACTCCAGGATGGGGTCCTGGCATGTCAATCGGATCGGTTCAAACTTTGTTTAAGATTTCAGCTTGATAGCTTCTGCAACGGCCTGTTGTCCTCATATTCCCCTATTGTTGCCTAAAGGACCTTATGTATATCAATCTGTTATGATGAGCCCTGATATTCAATGGTTGTGCTTGTGCACTGCGTTAACATCTACAGTTGGCAGATATTCATATTTGAATGAGCTAACCAAAGCACGAGACTCCTCGACGCATTCCTAAATACAATCAACACTAATAAAACTAAATGCTTGTTGAGGAGGGAGAATATTTGTCAGTCAATGTTAAATGGATTTCATTTTGCTCCCCTGGAGTTATCATTAATGTTAATGCCGAGCTGTTTCACAAATTATACAGCCTGATCCATGAACCAGAACGGTATAATCTGTTTTTGGGGCGCTCTGGCCTGCAAGCTAGAAGCAGAAACTGGCTCAACTGTATTACTGATTGACACACAGTGTTTCAGTAATGCCCATCAATTAGTTTAGGCTATCTATAAACAGCTCAGACCTAATTAGCCGCCGGCCAACAAATGGACTCATTAGGGGACATTAAAGCCTAATATGAAGGTTGTTATTGACTTAATCGCAGGAGAAACCCAATTAGTGGCCACATTTGGAAAATGACTCTGAGGTAGGGAAATGATCAGATTGCCGAAGAGGGGAGGAGGGGGTGCATAGCAACCTGGGATGACTTTGCCTGTGGGTGAGTGGTTGCATTGAGAGGGAGAAAGATTCAGTCAGAGATGTAGCAGGAAGTAAGGCAATGTGTATCAGGAGAAGCACAAAGGAAGTTTATGTGAGTGTGTGTTTGTGTGGGTGTTGAGAGAGAAAACAACACTTACAGCGCAGCAGGGAAGCAGAATGAGTAAGGTAGCCAGCGGCAAGAAAGAGTATCAGGAGACGGATGAGGAAAGCGAGAGATGAAGAAGATGTGAGAATAAAGCAAATAGAATCAGGGGAGATATTGTCATACAGTATAGAGATCGCATAAGAGAGGAGAAATGAATTTAAATAGATTTTTATGTTAAAGAGTATTACATGCAAGCTGTAGGATATTACCGAGTGTAAATATACTTTTAAAACAAAAGTAGCTGAATCCACAGTTGGCAAGAGATTGGCTCTCTCATTTGAGGCTGAGAGAGCGATAATGCAAGTCATGACAGCTTCAGTATGAAAAGTCCTTGTCATGTCAGAGTGCCATCGAGGTAGCTGCAAAATGCCAAGGCCCCTAAAGGATGGGCTCACTCTCTGGTGTGGGTCTCTTGACATTCATCTTATATTTATTAACCTGCGTATCAATGTGAAGGACATCTTTGTGAGTGAGTGTGTGAGTCAGAAAGCAATAAAGAAGGGGAAAACAGGAAGGAGGAACCATGTGCTGATGGTTCCAGTAAATGTTAGGGAAAAAGTTTAATAAAAAAACTTGCCTTTGAGAATATTCAAACTGGGTACTATGACCAATTACATCAAAACTAATATGCACTAACACTCATATTTCTACAGTGTTGCAGAGTTATGCTCACAACGACTCTCCTTCATGCTTCTCCTAATGCATTAATTGAATAATCATTCAACTATGTGACCAATGCCTTTTTCCAATGCCATTAGTTAGCAGGGTCTGGCGCTGCAGGGACATCAGATAGGCAATTGAATCAGTGAGATAAGGGTAGGTTGTGTGTGTGTGTGTGTGTGTGTGTGTGTGTGTGTGTGTGTGTGTGTGTGTGTGTGTGTGTGTGTGTGTGTGTGTGTGTGTGTGTGTGTGTGTGTGTGTGTGTGTGTGTGTGTGTGTGTGTGTGTGTGTGTGTGTGTGTGTGTGTGTGTGTGTGTGTGCACTGCTGTCAATCTATAAGGCCCAGGCTGAGAATCAAATGAGAAACAGATATTGATTTGGGATTTCACAGGCAGGGGCCAATAACAATTTGAGGGAGAAACGCCTGAAGCATCAACAATTACTTTCTTAATTAAGCTTGACAAACTGATGTACAGATTGAAATGGGTTACCTAGCAAATTGCAAAACACAAGGGTGATAAGTACGACAAATATAGCATTAGCATAACATTATTGAAGTGGAAAAACATGGGCATGTGACTATCAAAGAATAAGATCAATCCCTGGGCTATTTGAGTAAATACAAACAGATGGCCTGTTGTATAGGACATTTAGATTAGCCCAGACATGAAGTTGGAAGAGGCTAGATTAACTCTCTGTGGTGAACCGGCACTCAAGACAACATTAGTTCATTATCAGAACTGGTATTCATACAACACACAGTGGACACTTTCAATAACTGCTTCAAACAAGGTCAAGTTCAGCTGAGGAATGGGTAATTTTCTCACACTTACACAGTAATTAGTAGACGTTTGTTTACTGTGAGCACTCATCAAGACATAAATCCTCCTGTTGTGTCTTTCTCTATAGACAAAATATAAACTAAAGTGTTGCTTTGATAGTCTTAGATGTAACTCTTAATGAGGAAACAATTGGTTTTGAGTTTAAAACAATGGTTAATTAGAGAGAACAGAATCACCGCGGCAACATACGCACATCATACAGAGTATAGCTGAGGCTGATGGCAATGCGATTAGTTTTGCAGTCATAAACCATAATATTGGACAAGTTGAATTTCTGACCTGATGATGGCATTAAATGAAAAGTCAGAAGATCAACAACAATATATTCAAGTTGGGACAATAGACGTCTGCACAACACCTAATAGCAACCCAGATATTGAGACATTTCACTCTAAACCAAAACTGTCAACTTGCTAGTGATTTTTTAC